TTGCCAGGCGATGCGCCCGGACAGGAGAGAAAGCCGCTCCGAGCGAGCGGTCTCATCCTGCACGCCGACCTCGCGTACATACACAGCGCCATGTTGCCGCTGCGGCATTGTTGTGTGACCGTTGCGCCTGAAACACACGTTTTGGCGTGCACAGGTACAACAACATCCGTTGCGATGGTAAGCTCAAGTGCGCGTTCGGACAGGGCGACATCAGCTACCGCTACCGCATCTACCGCGTCCCTGAATCCAATGTACGCCTCATCATCACACGACCAACGGCACGACACGACCAACGACACGACACACGACACGACACGACACACGACACACAAACGACACACGATACACGACACACGCTCTTCAACGTTGGCCTTATCGCTTTTTCTTGGTTGGGTTGTATTAGTCGGAGATGGTGGAGGTGAAGAAGCTCAACGACACCCATCGAGTGCGAAGCGTGAAGCAGGGCATCCAGGTCAACTTCGCACAGACCGGGAAGATCGGTCGCTTCTCGGCGCAGGTGCTCATCGTCAACCTGTGCTCTGGGCTGGGCATGATGGCCATCGCCACCGTCGTAGTCGATGCCATCGGTACTTCCACAGCAACACACGACACACAACATACGACACTCACGGCAACACGACACGCGTGTGAGTGCTGCTCTGATTCGTGATGTGGTGAATGGCGCATTCCAGCGATCTACGTGCTGCCCAAGAAGACGACCTACTTCAGCCACAAGTACAAGGTCGTCGACAAGATCCGACTCTCGGACAAGGCCAAGACCGCCAGCGGTGGTGATGATGCCGCTTCATCGCCGTCGGCTTCCGAGAACAGCGGCAAGCAGAAGACCTCCGCGGGCGAGACGACGAAGAGGAAGAGCAAGAAGTCATCAGAGGCGGCCGTCGACTCCAAGCCTGCAGGCGAGGAGCAGGAAGGAGAAGGTGAGGGGAAAGGCCAGCTGCGGCAGAGGAAGCCCAAGACCGCCCGCCACGCCGACGAGTGACGACCTCGCAAAACCGACCGAATGTCCCACATTTTATTTTGAACTTTCACATAATTTCCTTTTGTTGGCCACCTTCGCGTTCGCTATTAGGTGTTGATTGTGCGCAGTTGCCTGAGGTCGAGAAGAACCTTGCGGGTGCCCAGAGTACCACCTCCGCCATCGGCCCCGGCCCTGTTCCGCCGAACGGGCCGTCGTCACCGCGCCCCGAGAGGCAGCCGCCCTGAGGTCCCACAGGCGCACGGTCGCGTTTTACGAGGCGCTTACCATCAGCTGCCTGGGCCGAGTCGCCGGCGAGTGATCGGCAGAACCGGACGTGGCCGACCCCTCGCGCCACCGGGCGGCTGGTGTGAAGGTGGTGGGCGCCTCTGGAGGAGGTCGCCGCTGCCCCAGGCGGTCCGGAGTCCCTCCGGCGCATGTAACATTCCATTTTCATTTTCATTTTTCATTTTCTTCTGGTGGAGAGAATGAGCTAAAGAGAAAACAATTTTAAAAAAGCGAGGCGCAGAGCTGGCATTCACTGCACCGAATACGCTGAAGATGAAGACAAGTTAGTAGAAATAAGCCACTTGCAAGACTGCGTGGAAGCACACCACAGCACTCGCAAAGTGTTCGAACACGCGCCATGCAGAAGGACAGAGAGATAAAGTTTGCCGTGCAGGGGAAGGAAAGCGGTGTAAACATTTTCAAGACCGACACCGCCAACCCGATCACCTACGCTTCGCCCAGCAAGAAACACACGCAAATCCGCAAAGTCGATGCACCCGTCCCCGTACGCTCATCCCTTCACCTTCACCCACTTCCAACTTTCATGCCGCTACAAAAATCTCGATCGAGATTTGAAGATGGGCACAACCATGCGAAACTGACGTTGCTTGGGCTGTCGCGACGACAGGGCGTGTTTCTGCTGTACGACGTGTTGACGCCGGACGAATGCCAGCAGTACATCGACCTCACCGAGAACATGGGCTATGAGGAGGCCACCGTCACCACATTTGGCGGCATGGTCAAGATGCCCGACCTGCGCAACAACGAGCGGGTCATGTGGCAGTCCGAGGAGGACGTGTGGGGACCCATCTGGCAGCGCATCGAGCCCCACATCCCCAAGGACGTCAACATGGGCGCCGCCCGCTGGACACCCTACGGCCTCAACGAACGCCTCCGCTTCTACCGATGTACACCCCCCCCCCAAATCTTTGTCTCTACACGGTCGTTGGGTGGTCGTGTGGCTGATGAGCTGTTGGTGGTGGTGCAGACGACAAGGAGGAGATGTTCGGCGCACACTTTGACGGCTGCTTCCCGCGCAGGCGGTGGGACCAGTCGCTGCTCACCTTCATCATCTACCTCACGGACGACTTCGAGGGCGGCAGCACCATGTTCTACCCCTCGCGCCACGAGGTGCGGCCGGTCAAGGGCATGGCCTGCCTCTTCTTCCACGGCAGCCACCCACTCAGCCCCGGTACGCACACCACCACCACACACACCCCAAGGGTGAATGAAACTCTCATATTCTTCTGTGCTCGCTCGTGTGAGCTGACGTTCTGGTATGTGTGGTGCGTGCTCGGTGGTGCGTGTGCGATCGACAGAGCACGAGGGGATGCTGGTGACCAAGGGGCGCAAGTATGTGCTGCGCTCGGACGTCATGTACCGCGCGCAGGGCAAGTGAATGAACGAAGAAAATGAACTGTTTTATTTATGTATGAAAGTGGGGCCAGCCACGCCCGCACCAACGGCCGTTTCACAACATGTACACCACTTTGAAACGCACCCCCAGCCACAACCACACAAGGCAAGGCGCTGGCAACGTAGGATTTGCGAGTGATGATTTTATGCAAAGATGCAAGAAAAGATGCTGAGAAGCTGATCATCTCCTCTTCTTGCCACCCTTGCCCTTGCTGCCGCGCTTCTTGTCGGAGGCGCGCTTCTCGCCGCGCTTGTCCTTCTTGAGGCGCGGATCGACGATCTTGACCTTGGCCTTCTTGCCCGCGCTCGGGCCCTTCTGCGACTGGGCCGTCTGGTGCTTCTTTCTCACGATGTACACCGGCGCCGCCTTCGCGTCTCCCGCCTTGCCCAGCGTGTGTTTCTATTGGGTTGCATAACAAAATGTAATAAAAGACAGTGACATTAGCGTGTGTCGTGTCGTGTCGTGCGATTGTGTGCGGTGTGTCGTGTCGTGTCGTGTACCTGAAGAGTACGGATGGACTTGATCTTCTCTCGCTCGGACATGCCGTCAGCCGTGGCGATCTTGGCGGCCTTCTGCTTCATCTTCTCCACCTTCTTCTGCATGCGCAGGTGCTTACGGGCCTTGGCCTCGGCCACCTTCTTGATGGGCCGCTCGTTGAGCTCCCTGAACTTGGCCTTCATCTCCTCCACCTCCTCCTTCGTGATCGGCTTCTGCGGCTTGTTGTGCCTGTTCTCATCCTGCACGAACCTATTTCACCATTTTCACCAGTCAGCACACGACACACACACACACTCCACCGCACACGCACACCGCACACGCACGACCGCACACAGAAAGGGTGATGGAGAGGAGGCTACCAGGGGGGAAGTTCGTCGCGGTCGTCGAAGGCGTAGCGGTTGTAGCCGTCGTCCTCGAACTCGCGCTTTCGCTTCTTGGTGAGGAAGAACTTCTTGCCGATGGCCAGGGTGGTGGCGACCTCGTCCAGGTCGCTCTCGGGCTCGGCCTCGGACGAGTCCGACGAGTCGCTGTCCGACGGCGCGACCGGCACCTCCTCGAACTCGTCGAGCGCCGCCGACTCCTCCTCCTCGAGCTTGGTCTGCTTCTTCTGCTTCTTCTTCGGGTTGCCGCCCTGCTGTGCCTGCTGCAGCTTCTCCTTCCTCGCCCGCTTCACCTTCTTCTGCTGTTCGGTGTCCTCATCGTCGTCGTCGTCGTCGTCCTCTTCATCGTCGTCAGCGGCGGCGCGCTTCTGGCCTCGCGACGTGGCGGCCCTCCTGCCACCGACCTCCTAGAGAAGAGAGAGAAAAAGAGAAAAATGAAAAGAGAAAAATGTCAGACCGACCAGCGAGTGTTGCGTGTGTGCGTGTGTGTGTGCGATGCGCGTGTCACGATTGCGAATCAGTCTGTAGTTGTTGTTGTTGTTGAGGTTGCACTCATTCGAGCCGTCGTATTGCAGTTAATTGTAAACATCATCTTGCGCGTATTTGCTGGCGTGACGGGCTTTGTGTGGAGGGTGTGTGTGTGTGAAGGGTACCGTGTCGTGGTCCTCTTCGTCGTCTTCGCTCTCGTCGGGCTCGCCGTCCTCGATGGCGCCGACGTCCTGGAAGATGCCGCGGCTGAACCAGAGCGCCGCCTGCTTGGCCTTCTTCGCGTCGGCCCTCGCGGCGGGCCTGTGTGTCTCCTCCTCCATCTCGTCCTCCCCATCGTCAACGTCGAATCGCACCCGCCTCTCGCCATACTCCTCATCCTCTTCATCACCTGTTTGATGATGACGTCAGCATTGTAAATAAATCTAATTAAATTAAAATATGTCTGACATATAAAAGTAAGGAGGAGTGTGTTGCCTCAGTGGTAGTGACAATGTGTAAAGAATGTCGAACATGTGTTGTTGTTCGGTGAATACTATCGTCATCGGCAGTGTAGCTCGAGAGCGAAGAGAAGATAGAAAGTGGTGGTGGTGGTGGTGGAGGGACGAACCGTCGAAGCGCTCGTCTTCGGGCAGCTCGTCGGCGTCGTCGCCCATCCGGAACTTCTTCTTGGGCTCCGTCGGCGGTGCGCGCTTCTTGGTGCGCTCCACGTAGGCCGTGTACATCGAGTCCAGCTGATGATCCAGGTACGAATCGTAGTTCTTTCCGGCCCACTCATTCTCTGCATAATTTTAGTTATTTTTTTTAACAAACAAATAAAAGAGAGAAAGATTAAAATCAACCATAAATAACACTTAAAATAATAAATAAATAAATAATAAAATAGGAGAGGAGTTCCAAACCTTCTTCAGAGTCTTCGGGGGACTCGAGGACGTCGTCGGGGGCCTGGTCGAGGAGCAGGTCGGCGGCGTCCTTGCGGAGCACCGACGCGGCGGAGAAGAGGTCGACCTCCTGCTCCTGCACGCCGCCGTCGCCGGGCGTCTCCATGCCGAGGGCCGCGCGCTGCCTGAGCTTGGCCTTGCGCTCGCGCTCCTTCTTCTTCTCGCGCTTCTTCTTCCGGTCGATCTCGGACATCTTGTCCTCGAGCTCCTTGTCGAGCTGCTCCTCCATCTCCTCCCGCGTGATCGGCGCCACCTCCACGTCCTCCAGGCCCTCCGCCAGCTTCTTTTTCTCTGCGTGTGCGTGGGCGTGTGCGTGTGCGTGTGCGTGTGCGTGTCGTTGGTCGTGAGCCCGGCGGAAGAGAGCTTCAGAGAAAACCGATGAAAAGCAGTACCTTCGGCCTCCTCGGGGTGGAGGAGGGAGCGAGCGCGGAGGCGCCACTTGAGGAGGTTCTTGAAGTCCTTCTTGTTGAGCACCTTGAGGTCCTGGCAGCAGGCCTTGATCTCGGTCGAGGCGTGCTGGTCGAGCTTGAGCGCGCGGGCGCCGTCGTCAAAGGCCATCTGGTTGTAGGAGGCCAGCACGCCGACCGGGTCCTTGGCCTCGATGAACTCGACCACCGAGCAGGTCTTGAAGAGCGTGTAGTTGCCCTCCTCGTAGCCGCTCTGGTTGGCGCGCACCTTCTTCTTGACCGGCGCAAAGATGTCGGGCTTCTTGAGGGGCATGTCGAGCTCCTTGAAGACGTGCTTGGAGTCGAGCAGGCGCGGGTCGATCTTGTCGGGCGCGAGGTAGTGGGTGCACACGACGTAGATCTCGGCCGACGTGTTACGCGAGGCCTGGGGCTTGGTGGCCTCGACCTTCTTGAAGAACTGGTGGAAGACCCACAGCAGCGCGTTGTAGTCGGCCGAGCGGAAGACCTTGGTCACGAACGTGCCGCCGGGGCGCAGAAAGTCGGTGGCCAGCTTGAGGGCCTTGAGCACGAGGTCCACCTGCGTGTAGGCGTCCTGGATCCAGGCCTTACCCATGTTGGGCGCACCGTCGCAGATCACCACGTCGGCGTTCCAGTGCTGCAGGTGCTTCTTGATCGCGGCGCGGCAGCGCGGCGTGGTGATGTCCTCCTGCAGCGTGATGACGTTGTGGATGGGCTTGATCGGCACCAGATCCACGCCGATGATGACGCTGCTCACGGGCATGTACTTGGCCGCCACCTGCAGCCTGGTTTGTTTTTTTGTTTGTGTGGAAAAAAAAACAAACACAGGTGATTAGTGGTTTTTTCTTTTCTTTTTTCATGCCAGGGTCCCACCCAACACCAAACGAGACCAGCCAAAAAAGAGAGTACATGGGCGACATCTCGCAATGCAGAGCTCGCGAGCATGAAATCGCCATTTTGGCGATTTTGTAAATTGAATTGAGATGAATGAAAAGGAAAAGGAAGCGTACCAGCCTCCGGGGGCGGCGCAAAGATCGATGAGGGCACGGGCGGACGAAAGGAAGTCATGCTTCTTGTTGAGCTGGACCAACTTGAAGGCGGCACGCGAGCGGAAGCCCTGGTCCTTCGCGAGGTAATAGTACTTACAGAGGAGTTAAGGAAACAATTGAAAATCGCGTAGAGTTATCGAATTAAAATCGCAATTAAGAGAGAACACTTCGCGAAGTAAAACAACAAAAAAACAGAGAGGTGAAACATGAGAAATCGATCAAAATTGATGAGAGTAAGAGAATAATCTAAGGTTTGGGTGGGTTGGAAAGGATATTTATCGCGCCTCTTGGTCTTGGTGTTGCCTTTACCCATTCTCGCGATCCTCTCCTTCTTCGCTTGCGTCGTACGGGAGGCCGGACTCGAGATGATGCTTTCGGCTCCGGCGATCGAACCAAACACACCGACCCTGGCGAGAAGGTCCGGAAACAAAAAAATAAAACTGAGATGTGAGAAAAAGGCACGAAAAATCGTTCCCGGTAATAACCAGCCACTTGGCATCGCTTTCGTTCTTTCGCCACCCAGTTCGTTGCGGACAACGCTTCAATGGAAGTGAGCGCTGGAGGCTGGCAGGGCCGCCATAGCCGCGTGGTTACTTCGTGGAAATGCGTGAGACTGAAAATCTTGAGAATGGTGGTTCGAACCCACCCGGGGCCATCAAGGCCCTGTAGCATAGTTATAACAAAACTATCAACCACTGGCGCTGTCGCCCCTGCTTTTGCTTCAACAACCCATGTTGGATGCGGGGTTGGGAAATCGCTTCTTCGTCCCACTGGGCATGCTTGCTAAACAAGGGAACTGGCGCAGGAGCGCACAGCTGAGTGGTTACTTCGAGGTAATGCGCAAGACTCTTAATCTTGAGATCGGCGGTTCGATCCCGCCCAGGGGCATTAGTAGCCCCTGTAGCATAGTTAACAACTATCAACCACTGGCGCTATCGCTCCTTGCTTTTGCCCTGCTACTACATCACACCACAGGATGATGGTTGATTGTTTATTGATAGTGTGTTTGCGGTTGAATCTAGTGTTCAACATGCACCCACTGCTCACAGGCGTTCCACAGTTTGGTGAAGCAGTCCTCCTTGCCAAAGGCCAGCACCCGCTCCAAGTACCGTTCATCGGCGCACTTGAACCACTGGAAGAAGGAGACCAGGACGAAGTCGGCGTAGGACGGTACGTCGCCCAAGAAGAACGGCCCAGCGCGCTCAATCACCACGCCCTGAGGCGCGGACCAGCGGCCGCTGAGCATGTCCGACAAGATCGCGATCTCCTGGCCGACCCGCTTCCAGTCGCCTTCGGGGTCTTCGCACAGCTCCTCGAGCGGCTTGCCGAACCACTCATTGCGCGTGCGCCGGAAGTACTCGGCGCCGCGGTCGTCCAGGATGGCCGGGATCTTGGGAAGCAGCAGCTTCATCGCGGCCGGCAGCACCTTAGAGTAGAGGTGGTGGTGGACCAGCTGGGCGAGCGGCAGCGCGCCGGGTGTGGGGAAGATGGAGGGCGAGTCGGCCCCGGTGAAGGTGCGGTCGAGGTAGAGCGCAATGGGCCACGAGTCCATGAGGACATGTGCGCCAGAGTGGCGGATGGCCGGGCAGGTGAAGGAGAGGGGAGAGCTGGAGTGCGAGGGTGCGACGCCGAGCGACTCGAGGGTGCCGGCGATGTCGGGGTAGGAGAGCCAGGTGGTCTTGTGGGGTATGCGCTTGTAGTTGAGCACCATCCGCGTCTTGGCCGTGTTGGGCGACCAGGTGGTAGGGGTGTTGCTGGCGATGTCGAAGAACTCAACCTCAGCTTGCGTGACAGACATGTTGTTCGTTGTAGTTGTGTGGAGTAGTGAAAGGTGCAGCAACTGCGACAAAATAAAAAGTTGCTAGTGGAGGCGAGACGGAGATGATGCTGCGGCGATAGGGCTGACTTGTTTCTTGTTACCCGTAGGCGAAATTTCGCGTACGCAACCACGCCGAATTTTCAAGCCGGAATAATAAAAGAAATCAAGCTGGATTTGGGATTTCGTGGTGGAAAGTGGTGAAGGAAGGAGGCATCTCTGGAGCAATCGACGAAGGGATTTTGTAGTCGAGTACCCAGCACCTCCAACTGGCAAAAACCGCAACTCACCCATTCTGCAATCGAACAATTAGGCGAGAAAAATCGAGAGTAGAGAGATAAGGGATTGCAGCGAGACGCAGCTGAACGGAGATGGAAATGGAGATAGACATGGACGACGTGCTGTCGATGCAAATCACCGTGCCCGATATGGAGGAGGGCGAGGTACCGATGAGCATCTTCAGCTGCCCGCCTCCCTCTGCAGGCCAGCAGCACGCTCCCCCTGCGCACGGAGGCCATTCGTCATCGAGCAACCATCATTCGGGCAACGGTCTGCTGCCCCTCCCTTCGCCTCCCCCCTCCGCATCTCAGAGGATGCGAATGCCTCCACAGCATCACCACCACCCCCGTACTGGCCCTGGTACGAGCAACGGCAGCGCTGGCAGACCCTACCAGCCTATGCGGCCTCTTCCTGGAAGCCGCCATCATCACGGCCCGACGTCCATGGGCGCCTACGCTCCATCCTCGTCGGCCAGAACCTCTACAACTTCCACCTCTACCACCTCGAGCTCCTCTTCTTCCTCTTCGTTCTCGAGCAAGGGCTCGTCTTCGCTTCTGGTGGAGGGCTGCCCACCTCTGCGTCAATTCGCTTGGACCGATTTCGACATTATGCAGAAGGTGGGCGAGGGCACCACAGGGTACGCCCCCTCCCCTCCTCGAAAATCACCTCTGAAAAAAAATCCCTGAGCTGTTGTGCACAAATTATTTTTTTTTGGAGAATGCAGCTGCAGAAGATTTGTTGTCAGTGCCTTGATGGCTTTTCTTCATCTTGGCAGCAAAAGCTCTTCATCTTTTGTGCTTCAATGCTGACAGCAGTTGTATGCATGCTGCAGGAGCGTGTACAAGGCCAAGTGCCGAGGGACGGCCACGCTGTACGCTCTCAAGGTCTTCCGTCACGAAGCCGATATGGGGGTACGTTCTGTTTGCACGCACTCTGCTTCGAGCGCTCATGAGCGCGACTTCCGTTTTCTGCTCTTGTCGCTCGTCTTGTTGATCGATCGCCGTGCTTGTGGCTCTCGACGTACACATGCAGGTGAGCATCAGTGCGCTGCAAGAGATCAAGTCCTTCCAGCGGTTGCGACCCCTGAAGTATATCGTGCGACTCGTCGGCTTCACCTTCTCCCCCAAGGGTATGTGGCCTGTGCCTCCCTTCATCGATGTTTTTTCCTCATTATTCACAACACATTCCTGGTTGGACCACGTGCAGACGAGTTCGTTTTGGTCGAAGAGTACATGGAGCACGACTTGGCCGGCCTCTTGCACTCCAAGCACAGGTTCAGTGAACCGCACATCAAGTGCATCATGCACCAGCTTCTGTCGGGCCTGCACGAGTGCCACCAAATGCAGCTCATCCACAGAGACATCAAGAGTACCTTTCTTCAGCTCTCCACTTTGTTCATTGCGTCTGTACTCATGCGCGTGTCGTGTGTGTTGCGTGTCGTCGTGTGGTCGCCCCAGGCTCCAACATTCTGATGCACCGGGGCAACCTCCGGATCACGGACTTTGGGTTCATGACGACGGTGGAGAATGCCGCGCTTTATCAGTCGTGCGAGATCATCACCCTCTGGTACCGTCCGCCGGAGCTGCTTCTGGGCACCACCAAGTACGGCCAGGAGGTCGACATGTGGAGTGCCGGGTATGTCATCGCTGCGTTGCTGCTGCCGCCGCTACCACCGCCGCTCGGCATCGCCTCCCCCCTCCTTCGCGTGATCGTACGGCCCGCACTTCTCTCACTCTTGTCCGGCGGTCGCACAGGTGCATCTTTTTCGAGCTGTTGACGATGGAGATCGCTTTCCGGGGCCGAAGCTCGAAGGACCAGCTTGTCCTCCTCTTCAAGACTCTGGGCAAGCCCTCTGAGGTGTGTGTTCAAGGCCATTGGTCGTGCGTGTCGTGCGTGTCGTGTCGTGGCTCACGTGCGGGATCACGCAACTCTCTGTGTCTAGTCGATGTGGCCCGGGGTGTCGTCGCTTCCGCTGTGGAACGAGCTGGGCCGGGACATCCCGCCCTACCCCAACACCCTGCGCGAGCGGCTGGCGGGTTCGCGCGTGAGCCCGCAGGCGCTCGACCTCCTGGCCTCGCTCCTCTCGCTCGACCCCAAGCACCGGCCCACCACCGCCCAGGCCCTGGCCCACCCGTTCTTCACCCACGGCGTCGCGCCGTGCAAGCCCAGCGAGCTGCCCCATTTCGAGGAGGCCCACGAGTACGAACTCAAGAAGCTCCAGCAGCACTCCTCCGCCACAGCCGCCGGCGGTGGCGGCCCGGGCGGGCAGCGCAGAGCGCCCACTGTCGGCGGTGGCGGCCATCAGATGCGGTCGATGTCGGGCGGACACGGTGGACACGGTGGTCAGCTGACCATCACAGGTGGTGGTGGCCTGAATCGCCGAGCGCCGGCGCAGTCGCACCACGGTGGTGGCCATTTTGGCGGCCGAGACGGGCACCAGCGGCGTGCTGGCGGCGGCGGACCACACGATGGCGCGCCGGCGGCGCCCTACGCCCACCCGCCGGGGCACGCGCAGCCGCACCACGCCCGCGGCGAGGAGGCGCCCCAGACCCGCAAGCGACCAGCGGCGGACGTGGACTGGATCCTCAACCGGGAGAAGCCGAGCGTCAAGCCGCCGGGCGGTCCCACCTCCCCGCCCGCTGCGATGCCTTCGTCGCGGGGCCTCCTGCACGACGGCAAGCGAATCAAGACCGAGCGCGACCTCGCCAGTCCGCCGCCAGTTCTCGTGCGCTTCCCTCTCTTTGTCGTGTGTGTGTCGTGTGTCGTGTGTGTGGTCACCACTAAAGTTTAACTCCTATTCAGAAGAGGGAGTCGTCGCTGCCGCTGGCTGCGAGCCGGGCGTCAGACGCGGAGGGGAGAGCGCGAACGAGGGAGGCCGTAACGCCGCCCACCAACGCTGCCGCCGCTGCCGCTGCCGGCGACGCCGCGCGCGGTCGAACGAAGCCGAAGCTCATCCAGCCCGTTCGCAAGCTGTCGCCCACGCGGACGCGGCTGCCCACGGTCCCTATGTCGTCCCTCCCCGTCCGTCGCGACTCGTCAGCCACCTCGCGATCGCCGCCGCACTCCTCAACCGCCCCATCGCCGTCATCGTCGGCTTCCACCACGCCCACGCCGGGCTCGTCGGCGCCGTCCAAAATCACCATTCGACGGAGCAAGGTACGATCGACATCCACAACCACCAGCTCTAGCACGGTCATGTGTATCTCACCATCAAAACGCACCACACACACACGACACACACACAGGTGGGTGACAAGCCAGTCCTGCGAATCGTCAACCACGGTTCACCACCGCCGGCGACGGCGACCACCGGCGCGGCTGAGGCCGAGGCTAAGCGAGAGGCCCAGACGACGGCGAAGAGGCGACGCCAGCCGTCGCCCGCCGAGGAAACGAGCGCGCGACGCGAAGGGAGCAGTGGCGCCGCCGGCGCCGGACAGGGCCACCCGCGGAAGGCGGCGCGGCGCGAGGGCGCCACGGCCTCGCCGTCGTCGCCCACCGACGCTCGGGGCGACGGCCTCCTGCCCACGCCCGCCGGGCCTCCCCTCGCCAGCGACTTGACAGCGCCCCGGCGGCAGCGCAGCGGGGCCAAGGGCGGCTCGGCGGCCCTCGAGGGCGGAGCGCCGGCCAAGGCCGCGCCGGCCGCCACTCGCGGCAAACCCAGCAGTGCCGGCGGCGGTGGTAGCAAGCTCTACTGCACGTGTCGGCAGCCCAACGATCCGTCGCGGTGGATGATCGCGTGCGACTGGTGCGACAGCTGGTACCACGGCGATTGCGAGGGCGTCACGCAGGAGGAGTCCAACCGGATCCCCAAGTACAAGTGCCGGCGGTGTCGCGGCCTCGTTCCCAGAGACCAGTGAGCGGCTCGCGGCACACACGCATCCTTCTCGGTCATCGTCGTCGATGCCATCGGCCGCCACATACATTGCTGGGTGGCCTGGGTGGTGTGCCGCGTGCACAACGAAAACAAAGTAAATATTTGCCACAAGCACGTCCTGTCTGTGGCCTCCCACAACCTGGTCTCTGGTGTGTCGTGTCGTGTCGTGTCGTGTCGTGTCGTGTGGTTTCCTTTTATGTTGATTTTATTTGATGTGCAAGTAGAGAGAGAGGTGCCTCACTTCTTCTTGCCCTGCTTGGCCTGCTTCTGCTTTCGCTTCTTGACCTTCTTGGGGATCTTGTTCTTCCGCTTCTCCCGCTGGGCCTCCTTCACCAGCTTCTTGCGCTCCTTCTTCGACAGCTCGCCGCCCTCGGTCCCTTCCTCGCCTTCGCCTTCGCCCTCTTCCTCCGAGTCGCCGTCCTCCGTGTCGCTCCCGCTCACCGCCGTCGAGTCCGTCGCGGGCTCCGTCGTCGTCGGCGTCTGGTCGCCCTCCAGAATCGAGGGAACCTGCACCCACCCGACGCACGTCGTCAGCATCGCAGGCCTCGTGTCGTGTCTTTGCCGCGTGTCGTGTTGTCTTATGTGTGTCGTGTCGTGTCGTTGGTCGTGTCGTTGGTCGTGTCGTGTCGTGTCGTGTACCGTGGAGGCGCCCGAGAGATCCTGCCGCATGCCGGTGACGCCCTGGTAGTGCATGTCGCTGACCGCTCCACTGCCCTTCTTTTCAAAGATGTCCCGCTCTGCATCGATCACCTGGCCAAGCCAAAAAGAACATATTGATCAGCATGGGGTGCCCACTTTCGGTGTCGTCGGTCGCGTCGTTGATCGCATGTGTGTGCGTACGTCATCGAGCGTTCGAGGGATGAAGGATCGCTTGAAGACCTCCTCGGCGATCTCCTCCTCGTTGGTCATACCCTCCTCCATACGCCGCTCCACCGTCGCCATCATCTATCGTTTGGGCATTAGCGATTTTATTCAAAATAAAAACGAGTAAAATGTAAAAATAACACGAAAAATCAAAGATACTATTGCACGGCTTCTACTTCTATTTGAAATAAATAAATAAATAAATATATCTGAGATTTATATGTGAAGGGTACCTTTTCCAGGTAGGAGTCCATGTTGGACTGGTTGATGGTGGGGTCGGTCACGAACTCGAACAGCTCGCGCGTGGTCATGGCCGGCACGCCGTGCTTGGAGAACCACAGCGTGATGTTGTTGCAATCCTACGCGCGCGCACCGACCCGCCGCATCCCATTAAAAAAATAGGTCCGCGTTGCGTGCGTGTCACGAGTGTCGTGTGGCATCGTGTGTCGTGTGTCGTGTCGCGTGTGTCGTGTCGCGTGTGTCGTGTGTCGTGTGCGATTTGATTAGGTAGTTAGTACGTACCAGGCGCAGAAAGTCGAGGGCGTGCGGGTGGTCGTGCTCGACCGACTGTGAGACGTCGATGAAGTACAGCTCGCCCTTGTAGTACCTAAAAAAAAAAAGACACGCACGACACGCGCACCACCGCACACGACACACGCGACACGCACCACACGCGGGAAACAGGGTGAGTGCCGGCGTGTGCGGCACAGCAGAGGGGAAGCGCATACAGGATGTTGTATTCGGACAAATCGCCGTGGACGAGACGGCACTGCTGGTACATGGTGCGCATCATGCGGATGCACTGCACGTACAGCTCGCGCCACTTGTTGGTGCTCAGCACCGCTTCCTTCATCTTCGGTGCCGGCCTGTTGTTGTTTTTGCCACATCACCCCCACGTCATCAGCGACACACGACACACGACACACACAACACACGACACGCGCCCGTACGCAAAACAAGACAACACACGACACACAGGCCGTGGCGTACCAGCCGTCCTTGCCGAGGAAGGTCATCACCAGGACGTGCATGCGCAGAGCCAGCGGCGTCGGGCAGTTGATCCCCGCCTGCACCAATCTGCAAAAACCAAATTTTCAAAATAAATAACAATTCATTACAATAAATATATAAAGAAATAATGTATTCTAATTTTAAAATAAGAATAAGAATAATACGAATAAGAATGAGAATGATAAGAATGAGGAGGTGGCGGCGTACCGGGTGAGGTTGCGGTACTCCTTCTCGGCCCAGAGGCGCACCATCTTGCGCGGGTTGTGCTTGGCGTAGCCCTTGCGGAAGCGGAACTCGCCGGTCACGTAGCGGTCGCGGTCCTTGAACACCAGGATCGACGTCTTGTAGACCTTCACCGCCAGCTGCTCGCTCTCCTTGCCCACCGCGTGGTACACATTGGCCTGCCCGCCACCATCACCACCATCGCCCAGTCCACAACCGTCAGACTCGTGTGCCGCGTGTGTCGTGCCGTGTGTCGCGTGCCGTGTGTGTCGTTGTGTGCGGACCTCCTTTCCGGTGGAGATGCAGCCGTTGATTTCCATGATGACTTCGCGGTTGAGCATCTTGTAGAGGATGAGCCGCGTTCGCGGATCGAGCACCTGCTCCGACGTGGCGCGGTCCTTCTTCTCGCGCACCCGCATTCTTCGAAATACACAGAAACCATTTCGAAATGAATTTCATAAAATAAAACAAAAAATCAATAAAGAATAAAGAATAAATAATAAATAATATTGAGGTGTACCTCTGGGAGGCGTCCTTCTTGTCCGACTCCTTGATGACGGACGAGACCGAGTTGGGCATCTTGCGCACATCCATGCTGCCATGCAGATCCTCCAGGTGCATTCTGCGCGCACACACCAACATTAGCGTCAACCGCACACGCACACGCGCAAACGATCACACACACACACACGCACACACGCGCGCACCACCGCACACGCGCGCGCACAACGACGACACGCGGACGAACCGGTTGTTGAGCTTCTGGGCGATGATGGTGTCGGTGGGCTGGTAGGCACGGTTGGCGGTGGCGGCAAAGTCCTTGTTGCCCGCACGCATGCCAAAGTCGTAGTAGTCCTCGTCGTCGTCATCGTCCTCGTCTTCTTCTTCGTCGTCGTAGTACTCCTCTCCTTCCTCGTACTCGCCGTCCTCGCCCACCACCTCGTCTGCCACACCACAATAAATTCAATAAAAATAATAAATAAAAAACAATAATAAATAGAATACAATAATAATAATAATAAAAAATGATGATTTTCATGTTGGGCGTGATGAAGAGGAAGAGGGCACGGTACTGGTGTGATTGGCGGCGGCATCTCCGTTGGGGACTGTCACGACGCCAGTGGACCTGCTTTGCTCGACCTTCTCTTCCTCCTCGGCATCGTCAAATCTAGCGTCCTCAATGTCTGCCATCTCGAAATCACACAAACACACGGCTGGCGATGCTGATGCTCTCTTGCAATCGTTCTCCGGCGGCGGTTAATCGCTCGGTTCTCGCGATTGGAAATCACTTCCCCTCTTTTTCTCTCTTCTTCTCTTTTTCTTCCAGCCCTTTCCAAACGCTTTCGTAAAACGTTTCGCAATATTTTCAAAATGATGAAATGATTTTCATATCTTTTGGATTTATTTTTAATCGTGCAAAGATGAGGGCCTACAGAAAGGCGGCGCTGATGGAGGCTCTGACGGCCCGACGCGATGAAGACGACGATGAGGAAGAGGACGTGGCCACCGAGGAGGACTACGCGTGCAAGATGGCCCGATTCAGCTCGTCCAAGGAGAACCAGGAGTTGGCCCAGCGATTCGTGCAGCTGGACCGCGACGATGAGACCGAGGCCTTCATCGCCAACTGTCGGTCGTGGAGCGGCAGCAGCGGCGCCCTGTGGAAGGACTTCATGTCGTGCTGCCTCCGCTCGTGCTGCTCCCTCACCACCACCAACGCCCTCCTCCGCATCGGCTCCATGCACGTCCTCTCCTCCCAACACATCCGCACCCTCCTCGCCGACGGTACCAACCCATTTTTATAATTTAATAATAATAATTATTATTTCTATTTATTCTTGTTATTTGAATATTTTAATGAGCAATAATAAATGTAGAAGTAATAAATAAGTAATAAAATGCTCTCGTGTAGAGGCGCGGGGTCGGCTGCTGGACGTGGGCGCTGGTGACGGGTACGTGGGCCAAGCGGCCTTGTGCACAAAACGCGCACATGTGTGCACGGAGCTGACTTGTCGGGGGTGGTGGGTGGTGGGTGGCAGAAACGTGACGATGAAGTACCGGCCGTTCTTCCAGGAGATCATCACCACCGAGGTCAACGGTGCGATGGCCAAGCGACTTCGCGAGCGAGGGTTCCCCTGTGTACAGACACCAGAGGTATGACACGCACCACCGCCCACGCACACACGCACACGCACACGTCCGACCGCACACACACATGACCGCACACGCACGCGCGTACGATGAGAGGTTGATCGCTTTCGGGGTGCTTGGCCAGGTGACGAGGGAGGCGTTGGCGGCGGGCCTGCAGCTCAAGTCGTACAGCGGAGACCAGCTGACCTTTGACGTGGTGAGCTGCCTCAACGTGCTCGACCGTTGCCCGGCGCCCAAGACCCTCCTGCGCCAGATTCGCGACATTCTGCGACCCGAGACAGGTCGGCTCGGCTCGGCTCATTGCTTGCTTACTTGGCAACGCCTGACTGACATCTGTGCGTGTCGTGTCGTGCCGTGTCGTGCGTGTCGTGCGGTAGGGGTGTTGCTGTTGGCGGTGGTGTTGCCGTTCTGTCCGTTTGTGGAGAGCGGCCCTGCGTGGAGTCAAGTCGAACCGGACGAAGTGCTGCCGGTCTACTCCTCGCGCTGGGAGAATGCCGTTCAGGATTTGGTCCACAAGGTACACACACACACACACACACACCACACACGCACACACACCACACACACACACCACACGCACACACACACACACAGAACGCACGCGGAATGACAAACGCATTTTGGTGATGCGTGCAGGTGTTCACGCCGTTGGGCTTCCGGGTGAAGAGTTTCTCGCGGGTGCCCTATCTCTGCTGCGGTATGGCGCCCAACCAGCCGGTCCTGCAGCTCGACGACGCCATCTTCGTCCTCACGCCCAACACCGACGCCCCCTGATTGCTGCTGATCACTTGACGAGATCACTTTTATTTATTTCTTCTTCGAACCTCTCAACTTGTTTGCTGCTGTTGGTGTGCAACGGGCCACGTTCTGTGTGGTGCGTGTGCGGTGGTGCGTGTTGCGTTCTGGTCGCAGGCCAGACCCAAAAAAAGGAATGCCACACGCCGCGTTCCGACTCTTTTCTGGTTGCGCCCCACAATGGGAGCCGTAGAGCTGAGCCGGCCCTGAAAGGGCGCCCGAGGGCGCGCTCAAGAGTGGGGCTGGTGCCGATTGTCGGTGGGTTACTTCGATTCCCAATCACATGCGACCCGCGTCATTGACACTCAACCCACGACGCAATCACCACCCCTTCTTTTGTCGTGTGTCGTGTGTCGTGTGTCGTGGTGTGCCCGAGCGCAAATACAATATTGTTCATTCTCGGCATCAGGGCTGATACCAGGTGGGCAGGGGAGGACGGAGGTCCAGCACGGCCTGCTCCTTGGCCGCGGGGCTGATGTCGAGCGGCAAGCCCCGAGGCGGCGCCCACTCGTCGTACTCGGCCACGACGACCCGCGGCACGGCGTGGCCCGCTTTGATTGGAAACTCACACCTGGGCGCAGGCTCGGCGGAGCTGCCCACGATGGGATACGGCGAGCCGAACTTCTGGTAGAACTCCACCACCGCCTTGCTCACCATTACGTGCCTGCCCATCATACACGACACACACGACACACACACACGACACACACGACACACGACACACGCACGACACGACACACGCACGACACGATGCACGACACGTGTAAGCTAATTGCGCCCAAGTTGACGGTCTGGTGTGCGCACTCTTTGCGGAAGCGGGAGCCGAGACAGAGGCCCTCGAGCGTGCGCACGCGGCTGAGCGCGACGTAGGCCTGGCCCGCGGCAAAGACTCAGTCCAGCGACTGGATTTCCACGCGGTCGAGCGACAGACCCTGTACAGAATTTCCTCTCGGGTCCATCAGTCGCCGCCAACTCCACAAGTGTGCGGTGTGTGTGTGTGTGTGCGGTGTGTGTGGTGTGTGTGGTAAGTGGCGGTACCTGGCTTTTGTGGATGGTGACGGCCCAGGCCAACTTGAGCGGAAGCTGGCACCTGGCGGCCTCGTGCTCTCGGTCGTGTTCCCGGTATTTCGCTTGAGCGCGTAGCGAGTGGGCCCAGTGTCAGTCCGCTGGGCGGGCCGAAGTGTGGCCCTCAAAAAGTGACAAGTGTACTACGCACCACTGAACAGCATCGGTCCGATGATGATCGGCGTCTTGCTGCCCACGAATTTGACCACGGGCAGTGGCCTAAGAAAGACATCGGATCAGATCAGATCAGAGAGACAAACAATCAACACCAGTCAGGCTGGGTCAATCAACGAGCGAGCACTCTCGCAGATGAAGATGAATCAAATCACGCATACTTGTAGAGGTGCTCCCGAAGCCAATCGAACTGTTGACCAGAGTTGTAGAGATACTGGGAGTAGGGCGAGTACGGCCTGGGGTGCAGCATTGCAAAAAGCTCGTCTGCAGTTTCATTTTCATTTCATTTTCGTTAGTAATAAGAAAATGAAAATGAAAAAGAGATAATAAAAAATTACGTATTGTTCATATTTCTAAGACGTCGGGGAGTGTAACCTTGATCGGCCCAGCCCACCACGACGCCACGGGAGCCATTTACCAGCTCGGACGAGAGGTTCTTGATCAACATCACCTGCGCGCCTGGATCGTCCACCATTAAAAAAAAAAAAGAAGAATGAACGTGTGCGGTGGTGTGCGTGTGCGTGTGTGTGCGTGTGCATGTGCGTGTGCGTGTGCGTGTGCGTGTGCGTGTGCGGTGGTGCGAGTACCGAGCTTGAGCTCGAGGTGGTCGGTGGCCATGCAGCCAGTATCGAGCCAGTTGGCGAGTATCCTGCGGGGTTCTTCTTCTCTGGGTAGCTGGTCGGTCCCCGGGTATTCGATGGGAAAGCCCTTGATTTGGTCGAGGTGGTCCCAGTTGATCAGGTCGGCGCCTTTGTTGGTGGGACACAGCTTGGTGGGCAGGATTCCCGAGCCGTCGTCCAAATTGCGCATCCAGCACCTACACACACATACACGACACACACACACGCACACACGACACGCACACGCACACGCACACGCACACACACCGCACACGCGACACATGTGAGCAGAAAAAACATGAAACATGCGCAGGGGTAGGACGGGTGCCGCACGTATTCAAGGCGTATTCGGCTTCGTCGGAGCATGCGCCCAGCCTGATGTCGTTCAAGATCGCCTGGAATCTGTGGCAACGGCACAACTGTCAAAAACTCATGCGCGTGCGAAATACCCACGCGCACACGACCACCGACACGACACGACACAACCAGACGACACGACCAACGACACGACACGACACGGCACGAACCGCACGTCTTTCTGTCGGAACACCTCGTTCAGCTGTACCACGGCGTCGATAATCAATGGCCACGATTCGGCGTTGAACGCAAATGCCTTGTTCTCGTCCCCTTCCCGGACCACAGGCGGAAGCTGCACGTACGCACCACACACGACATGACACACGTCCAATCAAATACACACTCAGCGTGCGCGAGTACATTACTGAGTGGCGGGAAAGGTGTGTATGGTACCTGGAAGAAATCGCCGCAGCAGATGACCTGGAGGCCGCCGAAGGGCCGTTCCTGGTCTGGGTCCCTGTACCAGTTGCGCACGCGCCGCGCGATGTACTCAATCTTGTCAAACAGGTCGGCCGATATCTATGTCACCAGACATTACGACACGGCCAACGCGACACGCACGCGTACGAGCAATGGGGTCGGCCGCCTGGCTTGCGGTTTGGAAAGCAGGGCAGAGCAGGGCAGCGGCCGCGTACCATGCTGATCTCGTCGATGATGAGCACGCGGGCCTTCTGCCACTGTTCCTTCTTGCCGAAGGCGCGACCTAGCATGACCTTCATGCTCTCGTCCCCGAGTCCGATCCCCGTCCACCGGTGCAGCGTCACACCGCCGATGTTGCACGCTGCCACTCCTGAAGAGCATGACACGACACGACACGACCAACGACACGACACGACCAACGACACGACACGACACGACACGACACGACACGACACGACACGACACACGGTCAGCTAACTCTGAGTAGCGCTGGGGAAGAAGGGCCAAACCGGTGGAAGCGGTGACGGCGACGGCTTCTGGGTCCTTGTGCAGACGGCGCAGACGCTCGACGATGTGGCCGAGGAGGAAGGACTTGCCCGTGCCGGCGCCGCCCGTGAGGAACAGGGAGTAGCCCATCTTGGCCAGCACCAGCGCCCGCTTCTGCTCCTCGTTCAGCGTCACCGCGGCCCCGACGCCGGCTTCGAAAGAGGGCGGCGGCGGTGGTGCAGTAGTAGCAGTTGTAGTAGAAGAGGCTGGCGAGTAGCGCATCCGCTTGGCGGGCCGCATGGCGTGGGCGTCATTGCCTACGCCGGCGCTGCTCTGGTGAGAGTAGAGCGCAGGCGGCGGGGCTGGCACCGAGTAAGGCGATGGTGGCAAGGCCGCTGGTACCTGTGGGCGGTGGTCCCAGGGTCGAGCAGCAGGAGCGGCTGCTCGAGGCTGCGGCTGCGGCGAAGACCCCACGCCGTGCCTGACCGCCGCAAAGTGCATCGGTGAGCAGCAGAAGAGATGAGCAAGTAGTAGTAGAAGACTCAAACAAAAACGTACTGTTTGAGGTAGTGGCGAGCTTCGCCGGCGCTTTGGAAGCCCTTGAATACCGCACCTGGGAAGCCGTTCACTTGAGCCTTGCACTCCTCCCTGTTCAACCACCCAACTGCATCGGTAAGCGGTGAAGGTGGATGTACCAAGATCGCAATTCATTTGAATATATATAAATGAAAACAGGAGAGTAAAGTAGGGCGAGTTGGAAGCGTACCAGGTGCGATAGATGCCTACATTTCTTCCGCGCGCTACGGCATAGTGCGACTTCTTCTTTGACTTGCCCATCCCATCTGTCCGACTTTTCCTGCGCGAAATAAGATTAATATAATACAGAAGGAACAGAATTGAAGTGATTACTTTTAGTAAACCCAAGATGGAAGGACCTGGCGGCATCTTGCCGACTCCAGCCGACCTGTTCACCCGCCTGAGCGATGAGGTGGTGCTTCACATCTTGAGCTTCGTCCCGTGGCCAGACGTGCACGCGCGTGCTGCCTTGGTTTGTCGTCGGTGGTGGGCCATCACCAGGGAGCCCCTCCCCTTCCACACTCCTCTCCGTACACGCTGCCCCCCAACGAAGGGCTCCTTCCCTTCGCCTTGGCTATTATATTAATTGCTTTAATCTCTTTTATCTTTTTTTGCTCAAAAAAAAACCGTTACATTGCGATGTTGCAGGTGAGTACAAAGCGGCGCGGAGCATCCAGGCAGCATGGCGAGCACATGCACAGAGGAAGCTGTTTTTTGCCCTTGGTGCGTGTCGATGATCTGCACATGATAGACCACAACAGCACCCACGCACAGCTACTACGCGACTCACTCATCCAACATGATGCACACCTCCACGTCAAAGTGCAGCGGTGACGATGAAGAAACGGAGGCGCATCATTGACGAATTGATCAGCACGGAAACGTTTTACATCGATTCCCTCGTCCGGGCACTACAGGTGCCTCTCCATTCCTTCTGTATGTCGTGTGTGTGATGTGTCGTTTGTGTCATGTGTCGTGTGCGTGCGTGGTATGTAGTGTGGTGAGCTTATGTAGAAGTATACGTATCATGGCGGTCAGGCCTACGCGGGCAAGGCCAAGAAGAGTACGGCCATCAAGAGGCTGTTTGAACTCATCGCCCTCATCATCCCTCTCCACCAGACCATGAAGGGCACATTTCCCATCTCGGCCTTTTGCCTTTTGCCTTTCTTTGGCTCTTACTCTTTTGGACCCACCCATCAGCGCGGTGGCAGCAGAGGTGGGTGGACAACCACCAGGCCGGCGTGTCCGTTGCAGACTGTTTCCAACCGCTGGTACGCTTTTGTTGGTGGTCAACACAGGTTCGGCCCGAAACTGGCCGTGTTCTGGCTCTTTTCTGGTGGCGTCCCACAATGGGGGCGCAATGGCGCCAGGTGAGGCGCTCAAAAGGGCGCCCGAGGGCATGACCATGGCTGGGGCTGGTGCCGATGGTCGGTGGGTTACTTCGATTACAAATCACACTGCGGCGGCGTTGACACTCAACCCACGACGCAATCACCACCCTTTCTTCTTTTCTTCTTTTGTTCTATTCCCTTCTTTTTGCTCCATCAACTGATCTCTCCACACACACACGAAATGGGGCGTGTCCGCAACCAGGTGATGGCTCAGGGACACTATTGCCACTACTGCCTCGACTACATGGCAGCCACGCAGGAGCTGATGAAGAAGCGCCACAAGTTTCACCACCAGGTTTATATATCTATATATTTACATATCAATTTATATGATCAATGTGGAGTTTATTGACGGATCTTCGCACACTTGAGAGCAAACAGCCACAACCAGGGCAGAAGCCCGTGCTGGAACTGGCGGCTTATTTGGTTATGCCCATCAGCCGCATCCCGCGCTACAAGTTACTTCTTGAGGTCCGTCTTTCTCGTGTGTATTGTTTCGTGCGTGTGTCGTGTGTCGTGTGTCGTGTGTCGTGTGTCGTGTGTCGTGTGTCGTATGTCGTATGTCGTGTGGTATACCGGCACTCATCGCCTGGGTGCAGGAGCTTCTCAAGTGCACTCCACCGGATCACCCTGAACATGACACCCTCTGCAAGGTGCGAGCTCAGCTTCGTCTGATGGCCGATGGTTGCAATGCCAGCATACAACAGGTGCGCACCACCATACACGACCCACGCACGCACAACCACTCAACACCAAAACACACTTGTGCACTTGCGAACAGTAATCTTTTTAGGGGCGTGAGAGTGTCAGCTGACGGCGGAGGCATTGGAGACTCCCAGCGCCCACTTGAACGGTTGGGAGACCAAGAAGAGTTTGACCACAGTGCAATGCCAGTGTCACATATAGTACACTGTGGCTGTTGGCAGTGAGCCTCAGACGGCGTCCCAGGTCCTGGCGTGGGCGATGCCTGGGGCGTCGGCGACCTGGTCAGTGCTTGGTTGAGCGATGTGGTTGGCGACTGAGTGGGTGACTGTCTGGGCGAGTTGGTCGGCGAGTGGGTCTTTGTCATCCTCTGCAGGAGAGAGGAGGAGGAGTAGAAGAGAACTGAGAGTAAGTGGGAGTGGTTGTGTGAGTCACATGTCCATGTGAAGGTATTGAACTTGATGCGTGTTTGCACGTCCACGATGTCCTTGTCGCACAACCAGAGCAAGAAAAGAAGCCAGATCTCCAACTTCTTCATTGCCACCACGGCTTGGCCTTGCTGGGTCTCTTCTCGCCGCGCACGAAGAGGCAGAGTTCCTTCTGGCAATCGATGCTGGCGATGAGGTCCGACACGGGACCTTCGGGTCCGTGGCCGTTCAAGTTGTCGAGCAGGTCCTTGATGTACTCGACCGTCGTGTTCCCCTTGTAGCCTCCTCCGTAATTGGCTGACACAACATGAAGAAGATGAGACGATGAAGAAACGCAGCAGATGATGAAGAAGAAGGCGATATGATGATAATTTACGCTTGTAGCTGGTCTCGAGATCTTCTAGGAAGTAGAGGCCGCCGACCCTCATGTGGGGGAAGAGATAGTTGAAGGAGGTGATCTGCTGGTTCATCGAGTGCCCACCATCATCGATCAGGATGTCGATCGGACCGGTGAGCTTGTCCAGCATGGCCTGGTGAGTTGAACCTTGAAGTCAGCAAGAAGACCAGAAGATGGTGAAGAACATATGGTGAAGCGAAGTGACGAAGATAGGTAGGAAAGTAGGATGAAAAAGAAGGAGAAGAAGAGGCTAACCTGAAGGTGAGCGACGTTGGCCTGATCCCCAAAGTGAAGCTCAGCGTCGGGCTTGTGTTCTAGCGCCCATGACTGGGCGCAGTTTTGGCTAAACTCGAAGATGTGGATCTCAAGCATGTTCTTGAAGTAACTATCAGAAGAAGAGGAGGAAGTTGTGAACAAGATGACATTGAACAAGGTGCAAAGGGAATGTAGATATACCTCTTCCACAACTGATATGAGGCTCCAGGTCCATATGTCATCCTACAACCAAGTCCTATCTCAACAAACCTGCAATATGATGAAGGTGAAGATGATGGTAACCCTCCTCCTTCCTCTTCTTCTTCTTTACTTCTTCTTCTTCTTCTTCTGCTGCTTGCAGTTCACCCAAAGTGAACATAGAGGTGAGAGGATATGTACCTGATCGGCGAGGCGAACGAAGGGAGGTGGCACTGATTGTCGTAGGGGGCGATGGAGCGTCCGCCCAGGTGAATGCTGTTGAGATACTTCTCATAGAAGAGATCATAGTTGTGTGGCGCGATCTTGTCCGTCACGGGCTTCTGTGCCATGGCAGCCGTGTGGAAGTCGGACTTGCCATTCTGCACCTTTGGCTCGTACGAACGGTGGACGAACACGCACAGGTCCGGCATGCAGTCGAAGCTGGCGATGGCCGGTGAAACGTGCTGCAACGCACCTCCAGTGCCCTGGCCGTGCAAGCCGTCCAGCACTTCCTTCACCTCCATGACCGTCTCCCCCACCTTGTAACCTCCGTTGTGGCTCTCTGCGTCGTCAATGCGCCACACCACACACATCAACACCACCTCGATTCGCACCTCAATGCTCAATGGTGAGGAACGTACTTTGGTAGCTGGTGTGGAGACCAGAGAGGAAGTACAGGCCTCCGGCGCTCATGAGG